TCTCTTATTTTTCTCTTTCTTTTTTCTTTAAAGAATTCTATTTAGTTAATTAAACTACTAGTCTTTTTTATATAAAGGCCTGGCCCGTAATATAAATATTTAGTAAATATTCTATTAGATTTAAATAAATCTGGAATTAGAAAAACTTATAATATTTTATATAAGATATAAGGCTTATAAATATAAAGTTTTTTGAAAGAATCTAACTAATAGCTTTATTATATATTAAAGATATATAAATAATATTTTCTTTAATTATCTTAATATTTTTTATATAGCCTATTTAGATAATATTCTAATTTATTTAAATAATTCCCTTAAATATAAAGACTATATATAAAAAGTTCTTTAATAGCTATAAAATACTAGCTTTTAAGTAAATATTAAGAAATCAGAATTTAAGATTACTTATATAAAGTATTTAGACTTTATTATTTCTATTAAAATTATTAAAATAGATCTAGATAAGATAGTAATTATTAAGAACTAATAATTACTAATAATAATTAAAGAAATATAAAGCTTTTTAGGCTTTTATTATTTTTATTAGTATTTTAATACGAAATATAATTATATAATAAAGTCCCTAATAGCTCTAATATATAAGAAAGTCTTATATAAGTAAATAAATTAGTATTAAGAAGGTTTTAATAAGCTAAAGCAAGTTATATTCTTAATACTAATTCTATATTATTATAATTTAAATCTTTTTATTATAATTAAAACAAATATATTAAATAAACTTATAGCTAGTATTTTTTATAATAGAATTCCTAAATAGAACTCTAATATCTAGTAGTATTTTTCTCTAAAATTATATAATTAATAAAGCTAAATTATAATATTTATAATAAAGAAATACTTACTATTATTTTCTTTTTAATTAAATAGTAAGCAGAATTAGAAGGCCTATAAGAAATATCTTTTATAATTTATTTAGATTACTAAGCTTTCGAATATTTTATAATTATAAAAAATCTTTTAGTAAAATAAGCTTATTAGATAAAGTATTTTTCCTACTATTATTTTAAGCTTATATATTAGGTAAATAAGTTAAATAAATAAGTAAATGCCCTAAATAGGAAATATAAGAATATAATTATTTAGAATAAGGTAATAATAGTTTATTAAATCCATTTTTTTTTCTATAATAAAAGATTAATAATAATATTATATAAGATCTCTAGTTAGCTCTAATTAAGGCCTTAGTAAACCCGGCTTAGAAAGAAACCTAATATAATAGTATCTAGTTTATAAATAAGCTATTAAGCAAGAACCGAGAATTACTAGAATTAGAAAAACTATAGAATAAGATAAAAAAAACAAGAAAAAAGATATTTAAATATTATAAGATAGCCTTTTCTTATAATATAATAAATTATTTATATTTAATAATATAATAATATTCGAAATATTCTTATATATTACCCTTATTTAGGAAGTATATATATAGCTTCTAATAAAATATCTAGAATAAACCAAGCTTTAGTAGCTTCTTTAGGCCCGCTATTACTAGCTAGGCTAGGATATAAATATTAATTAGTATAGAAATAACTATTATATTTACTAATAATCTTATATTTCCAGAAATAAGAAGCCAGGTTTTTTATATCTATTACTAGTTCCTAATTACCTCTAATAATATATATTAGTAGATTTTAAAAAGTATTTAGAAAGTAGAAATAAATATAATATAATAATAATTTTTATTAATTACTTAGATAAGTATTTTATTATAATTCTTATTCGAAATATAATTATAACTAAAGAATTAATATTTCTTATTTATATAATTTATTAGATTAGTATTTCGGAAATTATAATATCTAATTAAGGCCCCTAGTTTATATTAGATTTCTGGAGCGAGTTTTATAAATATATTAATATAAAGCTTAAGTTATTAATTACTAACTATTTCCAAACTAATAGCTAGATAAAGATTATTAACTAGTATTTTAACTAATAGTTATATTTCTATATAAACTATTACTAGAATAATTAGAATAAATAGATAATAATAATTAATTATTAATAAATAGCTCTAGTTTATAAAACTATAAGCTAGTTCTTATTTCTTATAAAAAAGGGCTATAAACCGCAAATATTATTTAATTAGAAAACCTAAATATAATTAGATATCCTAAAAGAAAAACTAAATAAATAAAAAATAAAATCCTTAGTAATATAGCTTTATAAATTCTAATAAAAGATATAAAAGAATATAATATAAATATAAGAATATTATATTACCTAAGCTAATAAATATTACTAATTAATAGATTTCGGAATAGGAAATAAGATATAAATTACTACTAAATACTAGAAGAATAATTATTTGAGCTATAAGCTAGCTTACTAAATAAAAGAATTATATAAGATTCTGAAATAAATTAGATATTCTTTTAGGCTTAAGCTTCCGGAATTAATAAGAATATATCCGGTTTTCTATATAGAGAAGCTATATAAAAACCCAGATAATCTCTTTTCTGGACAAATAAACCCGGAGCCTTTATTATTAGAACTATAAAACAGGGAAACTAAATATAAAATTTAAGAAATACTAGTAATAAAGCTATTCTATAGAAAACTCAAGTACTAAGTCTAATAAAAAGAATAGAATTCAGATCTAGAATAATATCCGGTAACCTTATTAAGTAATAGTTCCCTAGTTCTTTAGGACTTCTATAATAAAAACCTCAAATAGCTAGAACTGCCCCAGAACCTTTCTTATTAATTAAACTATACCAAGAATAATATATTACCGGAACTATATAATATAGACGGAAATTCTTTAAATTATATATAAAAGGCCCCTGGCCTTTAATATATAACTCATAACTTGGAAATTTAATAGAGATTTTTAAAGCTCGAGAATAAGCTTATTTTAAGAAAAGAAATAATATTATAATTATTATAATATATATTATTAATAGGAATTAGACTAGAACTAGCTAGATATTCGAAATCAGGAAATATAAGTCGAGGTCACGTGTTATAACCCTATTTAGCTAAAATATAGGCCTGTATATAGCTTGTAATTATTTAGATCCGAGGCTTTTTTGAGATCCTCTTTTCTTTTTTAGCTTTGAATTATTAGAATAGAAATAGTCTAATTCTACTTTTTAGGCCCTAGATCTTATACTCATAATATTATATAAATATTAAATTAATAATTTCTTAAAGAAATATATATTTATTTAATAATACTTTATTATTTTTTAACCTAAAAAATAATTAGAAATTAAAAATAATAAAAGCATAATTTATAAAAAACTATTATTTATAGCTAAAAATTATTCTTAATACTAAAGATACTAATAATAGCCGGAAATAGTATTATAAACTAATAAAAAAGATTAATAGAAATAGTAAAAATATATTTATAAGCTTTTTAGAAAGTAATTCAGGAAATAAAAATACTTTTTAATTATTAAAGGCAAGTATAATAATATATTTCTAGTTATTAAAAGTAAATATAATAATATATTTTTAGTAATTAAAGATAAATATAATATTATATCTTTAGTAATTAAAAACAAGTTTAATATTATATTTCTATTAGTTTTTAAATATAATATATCCTTAGTTATATCTTTAGTATTATATTAAAAGTAGTTGTATTATAATATAATTAGATTTTTGAGAGGAGAGAGGTATGGTACGAACGGCCAGAGCTAAATACAGTATATATAGTCACGTGCGCTAAGGACACGTGACTAGCCTGCAGTTGCCATGCAATATTTAGATAAAAATATAAAACCTTTCCTATTACTAGTTAAAAAAGACAAAGTAATATCTCAAGTAATTAAAAATTTAATAATATAGGTTATTATATTAGAGAATTAGGTCCAATATCTATAAGATACTTATAACCGCCTAATAAAAGAGAGGAATTTCGCAATTTCCTTAATTAATAATATTTATTTTTCTAGAAAAAGACTAGTTATAATAAGAAACTTCTTGCTAGTAACTAGTAAACCAGATATAAAAGCTTTTAAGAAGGTATTTAAGAAGAAAGAAGTGGTTATTAATAAGTCTATTATTACTTTGAACTCTTTTCCAATATTATAATCGGTACTCTTTAGTAACGAATAATTTCTTACTATACCCGGTATCTGAGACATTAATCTCCAGGTCAGGACTACTGAAGAGCCTATTGACGAGCCTGCCGAAGAGCCTGCCGCTGAAGAGCCTGCCAACAAGCCTGCTAATAATAGTAATATCTCGCCTTGTTATTCCAAGTACCATAAGCCAATACCGAAGCCGCCCGCTTCTAAGGCCAGAGCCCGGAAGCCCAGTTCCCTACTAGCAAAGGAGGAAAGTAAGGAAGAAAGGGTTAATAGCGCTAACGAGAAAGGACTCTGAGATTATAGCAATTATAAATGGGCACTTTTATGTTTTTATAGTTTTATTTTTTTTTGTTTTTTCCTTTTTTTCTTCTTTAGTTATTACCGATAAGGGTACCAGTTTCTCAGCAAGTTTTCCTTGTTTCTTTTTTTTCGCTAACGAGGGCGTTGGCATATTCGGGGGGAGGGGTGTTATTACGTCAGTAGCCGAGGCTAGAGAGGGACTATTTAGCTAGCTACTCCCCATAGAAGAATACATCATCTTTCTGCCCCTACTCTGGCTTTTGCCATCGTTGAGGGCCCCGGGATGTCTATCCCGTGACAGTCGAGGATTGGTCGGAGGGGAGAAATGTTTGACGAGGTGTCTGTGGACAGAGAAGATGCAGAATAGATATTGTCTTTCGTTTTGGAACGAGGTGAAGAGGTGCAGGGAGAGCTTTGAGGAGGCGATGGAGTTACTATCCCCCCCCTTGAATACTTACGGTGGGTCCAATATTCGCCACCATCTCCACACACACATCACTCCACTAAAGGCACGCAATCGAGTCTTCACCGCTTTCCAGTTCAATTGAAGCTATTCCCACTTTCTTTTCTACTATACAGTTTGTACCTCAGTACTTTGTAGGCCCACCATACGCTTCCTTTACAGCATCACAGCGTCTCCACCAGCTATCATATAATCCCTGAATATACTCGTCTGGTACTACGTCCTATGCATCTTGTATAATCTTGCGAAGTTAATCCAAGTGGATCTTATCCGGCTGGTAGCGAGCTTTCCAATAGTGCTCCTCTATCCAATTCTTTATCCAATTCCATATATGCTCAATGAGATTCAGGTCCGGTGAGTACCGAGGAGCTTGAATCGTGGGGATATGGCGAAGGAGCAAGTTTAGCTTTGTCTCGTACGAGCGGTGGGAAGAAGCATTGTCTTGCCAAAACCTATACCGGCTAAGTGGGTGGTTGCGAAAGAACTGCTCCATTATTGAGAGAATTTTGTGATTATATCATATGGAATTAATCGAGCCCCATTCCTTCTCCCAAAAGAGAGAAGGCCCCTTCTTCCTATCGACTATACTTCCCCAGAATATCTATACAGGAAGCTTGGAGTACTTGTGCCTCATACACTCAGGAAGTAAGCGATCGCTTCCATCCTTTAAGCAGGTAATATACGAATTCGTATAAGCTCTACCAAATGCCCATACCTCGTCCGTAAAGCAAACCTGCTATACGCGTAAGCGTGGCCATGTACTCCCATCCTCTGCTAAGTCTAGCCTCTCCTGACAGACTTTAGGATCATCTGAGAACCCCTTCTTTCGCGATATACGACGACAGTAATTAATTCCATCGATAGCTGTGCGAATAGCCTGCTTACCCCCTAATTGAGGAAGGAAGTGTGGAATCTTTGAGTATGCCACGTGACGGTGAGAAGGAGAGGAAAGTAACCACTCCTTAAGCTGTATTTTCTCAGGAATATGGAGCTTTGCATGCCTCCCTGCTCTCGTTTTTTGTGGAGTAAGGCGATGGTACTTTGTATAGTAGATTTGGTCGTTAGTAACATCGAGAGTCTCCTTTATTTGGGGTAAAGGTATCTTGAAAAGGAGGGCCGTTTGGATCTGGAGACGCTTATCACGGGTATAATCGGTCCTTCGCCAATCGGATGAGGTATTACTCTCTTGAGAGGAATCTGCTTGAGAGTCGGGAACGAAGAGAGAAGGAGAAGGCTGTAATGCGATAAGAGAGTCTGGTAAAAGCTGAGAATGTATAAGGAGTTCTGGAGTTACGGGACGATAATCGTCACGTGAGATTTGAGATTGCATAGTTTGCTGTGATTCGTTCATTCGAGGCCTAGGGCCATTATAGGAGTCCCATGACTGCGTAGTCTTTTGCGAATCAGGGAGAGAGAGAGGAGGAGAGCGAGGCTGCGCAGACGGTGGAGTATCTGCGTCATAAAGGTTACCATAATCAGGTGGTGGTGTAGTGAAACGTGAATCTTGTGAGTCCATTGCAATTGAGGATATAAATAAGTAAAGTAAGGCCAGTGGAAGCTGTGTATTCTGCCATACTTATGGTACACTGCGCAGGCGAGCTAGAAGCTTCTCCGTGCTCTGATTGGCTAAAAATGGGGTGAGGCGTGGCGTGAGTGAAGCATGAGAGTGTGGCGAATATTGGACCCACCGTAAGTATTCAAGGGGGGGGATAGTAGATATCACGAATCAGGCCGGGGGTTCCCTGCAAACCTCGGCCAACAGCAGCCCCTATTCGGCGACCTCAACCCCGCGATCGCCGAGGCGAGACGCCCTGCGCCAGAGCCGGGCGATTGACCCCACTAGCCCCCCGATTCGCCGAACACCAAAATTTCTATTTAAGCCCGCATAAAAATAATCACGTACTTTATAGCTCCCATAATATTAAAGATATTAAAAATCGGAGAACGGGAAATTAATTACTATAAGATATACGATAATTCCGATTAATACGATTAATATCAACTAGTATTGTAGTGGATTTGTTTTATTTTGTCGTTGTTGTGTCGGACCGACTGTAGTCTTTACGTCATCTGATGCCTAACTATTCTCTCATATCTTGAATACAATTACAAACTCTTCCCTTCACCACACTCAACCCTCGACCCAACAACGATATCACAGGAACCGTGATCAACAATCAAGAACGCACAACCAATATCGGAGTCCAGAATACCCCGTTATCAACTAAAACAGCAAGCAAGATGTGCAAAGCAGCAACGTGCGATACTTGCAGTATGTATCTCAGCTTCGCCACCCCGAGCTCTCACTTTACCTTTCCTCTCAGGCCATTGCTGATAATACGATACAGGCAAAAAAACATGGTGGGGCTGCGGCAAGCACGTTCCCAGCGTCATGGACAATGTTTCGGAAGACGAGCGATGTACCGTACGTTCCTCCCCTCCCACCTCTTGCCGCTCCTCATATCCCTCCCACCCTATCCCTACCCAGCTCCAAATTTCCATGGATACCCGTGAGCTGACAAAGAGCAGTGTGAGCCCAAAGTCGAGAAGGACGGGAAGCAGTACCCGCCGATGTCGAAGAGTAACCCATAACTCGCTGTTTTTTAAAGGAAAGAAGGTGAAGAAAGAGGACGGAAGGGGGGGTGGGGAGGGCGATGATCTGGGGAAGGAGGGAGAGCAAAACAGTGTTGGTGTTGGGCACGCGGTGAAGAGTGTGATTGATAGTTTGAGCCATTTGGCGAAGTGGTCCAGTCATAGCTGAGGATTGCAATATCTATGCGCTGAGCTATGAAAACGGTGAATTACTCTGGGTCGTTTGTTTCTATTTGCTGAGATCTATGTCTGGAGATCTGAATGACGTCTATATCTTACTGCCCTTCACGAACCGCCCCCGATCATATTGCGAAGGCCATTGCACCTTGATACCAAGTCTATACGCAACCCTCAACACCCATTCCGGCTCCCTTAGAAATTGCCTCGCAACCAACACCACATCCGCCTTCGCGATCCCTCCATTCTCATCCTCGATTTCGACCAGCCCATCCCCTTTCCCTTTCTCCACGATTTCCTTCGCTGCTTCAGCTTCGGTGATCATCCCCACGGCACCAATTAATAAATCCTTAATCCCTGCCTTGTAAAGCTCCTCGCGAATACGTCCCGCAATTCCAACCTGATAATTGTTGAATGGAGTGACCGCCTGCTTCTCATTATTCCCTCCTGAGCTTACATCCAACAAATCCACTCCCAATCCAGGAAGCAACTTCGCCAGCCGTATCGTACTTTCAACGTCCCAGCTCTCCTGCGCCTGCTTCTCCATCCACTCCGTACTGGAAACCCTAACCAGCAACGGCATTCCCTCAGGTATCACTTCCCTAACCGCCTTAACCACATCCACCAACAACCTTATCCGATTCTCAAAACTCCCGCCATATTCATCCGTCCGTCGATTACTTATCGGACTCAAGAAAGAGGAAATGAGATATCCATGCGCGCCATGAATCTCAATAACATCCACGCCCGCCTGCACGGCCCTCCTCGCAGCCTCCCTAAACCCCTCCACCACCCCCTGTATATCGCTCCTACTCATCTCCCTCGGCACCGCATACCCCTCGCCCCACCGTATCGCGCTCGCGCCCATCACATCGTCCGGCCATCCCCCGACTTCTTCGGTAGCCGTTATCGCTTTTCCGCGTTCGAGGAGCCAGGGCGCGCAGGTGGAGGCTTTGCGGCCCGCGTGTGCGAGCTGGATTCCGAGTTTTTGATTCTGGCTGTGCAGGAAGGTAGAGATGCGCTGGATTGGCGCGATTTGGGAGTCGCTCCAGAGACCGGCATCTTCGGGTGATATACGGCCGTTGGGGAGCACGGAGGCGGCTTCGATGATTGTTAAGGAAGCACCGCGGTAGGCGAATGCGGATCTGTGGGTGGACTTTAGCAAATGCTCTGCGGAGATTGTGGGGAGAAACAGGAGAGAGGGGGGATTGGGGAGGGAATTGAGACGGCTTGTAATTGGAGTTGGGAGAGGGGTTGAGAAAAGTACGCACAGGTGGATTAGGTGGAAGTCTGTGAGGTGTCCGTTATCTGCGGAGTACATGCACATTGGAGCCACCCAGATACGATTCTGGAATGTTACATCGCGGATCTTGAGGGGAGTGAAGAGTGTGGGTGGATTCTCGGAGAGAGCGGTTCCTGCTGGTGGGTTCTGGATGGGCGTGAAGTAGGGAGTGTTGGGTGCGGGCTCGTTTCTGGGTGCAGATACAGAGCCCATTGTAATGGCAGATACATGAATATATGTATAAACTCTAGAGTAAAGGATCAAAAATTCATTAAAGGAATAACAGTAACAAAAGGAGTGAGAAGGTGGAGAACGGAGGGGAGGGGAGATAAAAGATCTCGGAATTCTGCCCCGAGGTGCAGACCAATTTGTCAGCGTCAAAGGCGGTGAAGAATTGCGCGATGTGGGGTTGAGGGGCTCAATTCTCGCTAAAGCCCCTGAAGAAAGGCAACAAAACACGAATCCACTGATCGAGTTCTCGACAAGAGGGTCTCGCCCTAGAGATGTTCACTGGTGAGCCGCTTTGAAAGAGAAATTGAATCACATGACTGGGACTCGGCTAGGCGCACTAGCTGGCAGTGCTCAATTGCTAATCGCTAGTCGCGTCTCGATTATCGCTTTTGACTTGACAAAGTCGTCGAAAAACACGGTACCATTGTTCCATGCCAACTGGCGCAATAAGGGGTTGACATAACTTCTCATACTTCCATTGCGGTTAGTACTTTTTCTTTTCGTCTAGGACATTAGCAGCCTTTCGGCAAAATCTTTCGGAGGTGCGAAATTGAGACGACTCTTGAGAACCATTCCAAATTTCTCCGTCCATGTCTTAGATGGGCGAGATGCAATTGGAGAAGCAAGTGTATAAGTCTGTTTGTTAAAAGACACATCTGGAGGTAAGCAAAACTCTGCGGTGACATAGCGAGTTAACTGTGTCACAACCAGTCAGATAGAGTTTGTTGCCTTGCTGCTTGGAAATCTTGATATATTGTTTTGCCTTGGCTTTATGAATGTTATTTCAAAGCCTCGAACTCTAACTTTCACAACTTCCACCAAAGATATTCTTCTCAATGAACCATCTGGAAGGGATCGATATTGCTTTCTCCAGCTGCCGTGATGATTGAGTCTTGTTATCAACCTCGATGAAGGAGTACTTGATGTCCGGGTCTCGTATCTCAGGTACCCCCTGCTATTCGCGTTAGAATTTTTCTGGAATTTCCAAGTTTCCTAGCCACCGCTTGTGGAATACTCTCTAGCCCTCATATCCGGAGATTTGAGAGATCCATATTGAGCATATTCCAGACGGGGCTTACAAGATGCGGGTTATAGGGCTCCATTGCGAAGCCTCCCGCTTCAGAGAAGATATTTCTCACCTCATCTCTCGTCTTTTCCAAAATGCAAGCACACCATCTCGTTTCCACTCCGCGATAGGTCGCCATCTATTTGTCCAGGGTATCGACGGCAGGCACAGCGCAATCAGACTTCCGACCATAAGAACGCCGGAGAAAACAAGTATCATGATCAGACCGAACAAAATCTTTGGAATTTAAGAAGCGATGCATTTGAGGTGTTTTATTCAGGGTCTTCAACTTCAACATAAGCAATGGAATTAAGCTAGGAGGGCTGGATTCTGCTATTATATTCGCTCGACAAAACAATCTCCTCGTCATCCACCTTATCTCCGGCCAAACAACAGAAAAGTAGTTCAAAAATCCCTTCAAGAGCTCTTCTGGTCATACCATCCAGGGGCTTCTGTTGCAGAGGAAGGCTGGTTGGGTTTTGCATACCCGAAACGAATGGTCTTCTCGGTCTTCCCGGTGGGGAACGACCACTCATGGCCAGCGCCGGTGCTGATAGCCAGCATAGCCTCAGTTGTTTGGATCTCCTTCCAGAACAAAAGATATTTGTTGATTGGAGTCAGCTCGATGCGCGAAACTCCCATGTGTACGTGGGGGTCGACGTAGATGGTGCTGAAAGAGCCGCCACCAGTGGATTGCTGCACCGCAGTGTGAAATTGGACTGGACCGCCGTCGACAGCGAAGGTGCTGGTTGCTCCAGATTGAGAGTCCTACGTGGAAGTATCTAGTAGAAATATGTCAGGATTTATGAAGAGCAGGATGATTGTCGAGATGGCCTACCAGCGCCAACAGCATCTTGGAGAACTCCCTTTTCAAATTGAACCAGCTCGCCAAACTTGATGGGGACAGTGTTGGTTGAGGCATGGATCTATAATGTTCCATGTTAGTTATCGAACAATGCGCAGGAGGAAGTCCAAAACAACGTGGAGGATTTCTTGGACGATGAATTTTTTCCCTCGCGAATCCTCCTGAGTCGAAAATGTGTGGACAGCTAGAACAATGAATGAGGTTATGAACAGAGCAGCTTACAAAGACGCCATTACCGAAAGAAGTCGTCAGGAAGACTTGGTAATCATCCTCCCACTCGAAGGTGTTGTTTGTAACCAGGAGCTTTTGGTCAGGCTTGGGGACCGGAGAAGCGCCTTGGAAGATAACGTTATATGATCCATTAACCTGTGGGAAATTAGCTGAGTGGTGCTTGTATTTCGTCTGTGAAAGCTAATACCTTCTTGGCAATACAGAGAGAGTCGCTCGAGCCAGCTGCTAGCATGGCATCGTCGATAATAATATTCAGAGTATAGGTCGCCATTTTGGTAAGTAAAGATTGCTAGAATGTTTGGAATGTTGTCTGATGGAATGAAGGATAGAATGAAGATTTCCAGCTTAACAGAGGGGCAGAATGGTAGGTTTAAGAACGAAATCTTGTCCGCGAAATACATATCGTATTTGCGGGCACGGTGCTTCGGATTGAGCGATGGCTACTAGACCGAGCGGAATCAAGACTCACACCTAGGCTTGCCATTTCGATGTTACTCACGGACAATCCACAGGGAGTTTTGCAGTGCTGGACCACTCTCCATAGATACTTCGACGTTGCGAAAAGCCTCAAAAGCCCTAAACATTCACATTTGAAGCTGAAGGTGCTTATCTGGAGATCGCTTCCTTGGCATGCAGGTGTGTTGTCATTATTTCTAATAGTCTAACCTTACCAAGCGATTAATATTGGCTGTTTGGTTGCGCGACAGGCCATTTTCTCTAATGCAGGACGGCACGGCGCTTCCGCTTTTGTGGCATTTCGTCTCAACCCTGCGGCTCAGCCCTAATAAGAAAATTACCCGGGCCACAAGTGGCAGCGCCAGTATCCAAGGCGGAAGCTGAACGAAAATGCGTTGTGCTCCGGGGTCAAGCATTGGCTCGAAAGTTTTGAGTACTGCCGACAGGAGTGCATCTAGCTTAATGCTTGGGCCTCCTAATTCTACAGCTGTGATTGGTCCAAGCTTCGGAGGAGGTTGCTGCGAGCTAGGGCGGCTATACAGCTTCAGCGTTGATTTACTAATGTGGCGGCCTACTAAGGGGTTTAAGCTGGAGCTGGAGCTCCTCAAGCCTTTGAACGATGAATCACAACCCGCATAGTAAAGCAGCAGATTGCTTCTGGTCCAATCCTGATCTACCAAGTCGCCCCCCGATAAATATCTCAATACGAATACTGCGGCATAAAGTCATGCGACTACAGGGCACATGATGTCTCAGCCACTAATCACACGCTGTGATCAGTGAAACTAGCCTGTAAAGCCACCACCGCTAAAGTGCCCTGGAAGCACCTGTAGCTTAGTGGGTCCGTACCTAAATTATAGGCTACCTGCCCCCGTAAAAGCGAGGTTTATTAATGCCATAGGCTGAAGCCCTGTAAGGAGTTTCAGGGATTGAAAGACAATTCTAGGGTATGCCCCTGCAAGTATAGGGGCTTGATCGCTAAAGGGCCCTATTAAGACCTCTAAGTTCCAGCGTCTGAGCGCTACAGTCACTGGGCCAACAGCGTGGCGCTATAGCCACGGCCACTACAGGGCACATACGCTGAAGTCGCATGACTTTATGCCGCAATATTCGTATGATTAAAGTATTCAGCCAGCCTTGCGGCATCAATCTGGATCATCACAAGCACTGCTAAATTAAGATGACTTTACATGCACAGATAGGAGCTGATTTCAAATCCGAGAAGATGCATGTGGATAGCTGCAGGAGATACACAACCGTACAGAAGGCCGGAAACCAAGATGATGGATTTTGCCAAGAACATTACATTCGTTCTAATCTAGCGGCGATTCGTGTCTTTTTTCCACCCAAGGCCACCATGCAAGAAACCAGAAGATGGTGGCAGCCGTTGTCTCGTGCGCACAGCTCCCTTTCCCTGCTGGATTCCCCGAATAGCTACCTAATGCTAAGCCACTCAAGCGCTGTGAGCATTTCATGTGGGTGAGGGGACTTTGAGCCACGATTTCGGCAAAGACAGTTTCTCTGATGTGGTTCCCGTCTAGACTAGGAGCTTGATGAAGTAGGTTATTTCAGAGTAGGTGTCGAGTCACCGCGCCCTGAGCAATTCCATTACCCCTCCAAATCACAGAACCAAAGTTCTACATTATGTCTAAGTTGTGCAATACTTGCTCCCAAATTACGGTATCCAACCTGTCGGATAGACAAGACTTGGGGGACGGCGTTATTCTGTATGGCTTTGAGCATTATGGCGCCTTCAAGCAAGTGTTGTCGTCGGCGGCAACTTGTCCCCTCTGCGCGACGGTTGTTACTGCAATGCAAGCAAAAGGGCAAATTATACTGCCAGAGGAGAATGTAATCAATGATCCTAGTACCATTCGTCTTGTCGGATTCCCGCTTCCAACAGTTGATGCAGATGGAAAGGCAGTTCCAGCAAAGCTGTCAAGCATTCTGGCCGGTAATGCTTTTATGCGTGGTTGGCTTTCTATATATACTACTGAGAGTAAGTAGAGATCTGTCTTATTTTCAAGCTTTCTCTAACATTTTCAGGTGATCAAGCCGCAGATACAATCGATGGCCGTGCAGTTGCACCAAACGCAAACTCGAAGCAGGTGACCGACCTTGCCAAGTTTTGGCTTGGTGATTGCATTGCCGGGCATTCAAACTGCCGGCAGCTCATATCCGGCAGCATTATGGACGATAGCGCGCCGATCATGCCAACGTATGTGATTGATGTGGGAAGAGCCGCCGGAAACAATCTGCCGGAACAAGGACCACAGCTCCTTCATACAAAGAATGGTATCAGTGGACAATATGCTGCACTCAGTCACGTCTGGGGAAACGGACAATACACAGTTCAGACGACTATGAACAATGTGATACACATGCAACAGAATATTGATCTGCATTCAATCGAGTCCACAACATTGAACGATGCCATGTCCATTACGCGCTCTCTCGGAATTCCATATCTGTGGATTGATTCACTGTGCATCATACAAGATGGCCCAGGCTATGATGCGGAGTGTGCTCGAATGGGGCAGATTTACGAGAATGCAGCTGTTGTTATTGCCGCTACAGGCGCAGCCAACGATCACGTCGGATGCTATCTCTCACGAAGCAAGTCGAAGCAAAAGCCCGTTCAATTTACGAATAGAAACGAGGATGGTTCCGCTTCGCATTACTACATCACGGTGCAAGCTGGAAGTCTCGCACAAGATGCTGATGCGGGGATCTGGGCATCCCGCAGCTGGCTCCTCGAAGAACGCATTCTCGCTCGTCGTACCCTCCATTTCGCTCGAGAACAACTCTACTGGGAATGTGCTTCCATGACCCGCTCTGAAGACGGCGTCGTCGTCCCAAAAGGCAATCCAAAACGTCTCTTCTACGGCTCCCTGGACCAAGTCAAATTACTCAAGACTAAAGACCCAGCTGGCCAAGACGCGATGCTCTGCTACCAACGCTGGTGTCTCCTCGTCGCAGAATTCACTCAACGTACCCTCAGCAACGCTAACGACAAACTTGACGCTCTCGCCGGCATAGCAACAGAAATTACCAACCGCACAGGCGGCACATACCTCGCTGGCCACTGGCAAGATTACCTCCAAATCGGCCTCCTGTGGCAAGCCAAGTCTGTCCGTCTGCAAATCCCCGACAACCCACTTGCGCCAACTTGGTCGTGGGCTTCTCGCCATGGTCCCATTTTCCACGACCCCTACCTCTTCAACGCCGTCAAAGACGACAAATACACCATCGTATCTGAGAACACCAGTATCCAGAAAGACGACGTACATGGCAAAGCCGTGACTGGCAGCATCCAACTCTCAGGCAAGATGAAGCCGGTTACGAAGATGGAAGGCGGAATTGCGGACGACAAGTTCTGGAATAGAATCTCGACGCAAATGCATGAGTATTTCCAGGATCGAGAGCTGTTGAGTGCATTGGTGCAGGATGATGGGACGCCTGTTGGGTGGGGGAGCTTTGATACGGTGGATCTCAGTCATGTTGATACTGATACCAGGGATGTTTGGGCCCTTTGCGTGAGTAAGAATGTCCCGGTTGCGCCGTCGTCGTCGGCTCCTACATCTGCCCCGAGCTCGCCGGTGTTGAGGGCTGCTAGCAGTAATGCGACGGCGGATGCTAATGCGACGACGACGTTCACTCCTACTTTCAATGTGCTTTTGTTGAAGGCCACGACTGATGAAGGGAAAACCTTTCAGAGAGTTGGGATGGGGGAGATTACGACGGATTTGTGGTTTGATGATGTGGAGGTTGTTAGTATTACTTTGGAATGATTTCCTGGCGATTGTGTTTTCTTGCTGCACGAGCTTCGATATTTCTTTAGAACTTCGCTAGTAATGCAACCATGATTTCAAGTTGCAAATGTGGATTACTCCTTCCATTTCGTATGTGAGTGACGGTTACAATGGTGAAGTGAAGCAAGCATGAAGTCAAGTGACTTGATTATTTTCAAAAGCGCTGATAATTACTGCAATAACTTCAATTAGAAACGCGTCGAGATTCAGCACTCTAACAGAAATAACACAAATACCCACGACTATAGCCCAAGTAATTCAACCCGTGCACTGAGACAGCACTGCATATCATGCCGAGAAGATACGGTCCACCAGCATCACCATCCTTATCCCTACGTGTTATTCCTCTTCGCCTCCCGTACACAAAATGAGTGGCACAGTGCCTCCGCACACGCCAGCGGCGGATACTGATTATCCTCCCACACATCCGCGCCCTCAAACGTATCATAACGATAGATAGAGGCACACTTATAACACCTAGCCCTCATCTGAAACTCCGGAAAGCCAAACCCTGCCGCCTTTTCCGTCATGTGATTGAAATAAAGGTTCGGGTCTGTGACGTTATGCTTTGCCACTGCTTCGCGCGATGCCATAAGGCTGAAGTACCCGTCGTCCATGGCCCTGCGCAGCGCTAAGAAGTCAGCGTGCGTGTCGGGATGTTTGTGTTTACGGAAGAGTTTGGTGTCATCTTTGTCGATGTCCGGAGAGTTGGATTGCTTGGAGTGGTTGTAGTCCTCTATCACGCGCCTGTAAAAGTCTTTGGTGTTGGCATGGATGATACTCTTGTTCTCATCTGCTTCGCGCTCGGTGAATCGGCTGACGCGCGCCATGAGTGTCCAGTCTGCCGCTCCTTTGAGGGCGCCCCATTTGGTGGCTGAGGTGGCCATGACGAAGGGTCGGTGTCTCGAGCAGATGAAGAGAACTAGTGGGATTCCAGTGATCACCTGGCCGGGATGCTTCTGGAGCTCGGTCATGATGGCTTGAGTGAAGGGTGTGCATTTCTTAAACACTTCGATGTAATCCTCTGGGAGAAATTAGAATGAACTCGAGGTGAAATGAAAGATTTCAATCTGTTAAAAGCGAAGAATCTACAAGCATGAGTCTGTAAGCAAGGTAAGTATGCTCACCGATAGTTTCGAAAAGACGATCATCATTCATTTTTCCTGTTTCCGCGCCACTACCCCATTGGAAAATAATTCTGGCAAGAATTTCGATGGGAGAAAGTGCCGAGATTCTTACAGGACTCTTGTCCTCAATCACTCTATGTGGCGGCAGACGTTTCTGTGGGATCATCGCCTGCAATGTGTTGCTAATACTAGTATTTCCCCAATTTGTCGCTTTTAATAAAGTATTTTGCAATATTTCCCAAGCCTTTATGAGTTGATCCTTGTCCGTGATGCTGCGGTTGATGGCCGTGTCTTCTACAACGTCTTTGAGGAAGCCCAGTGTATAGTACCAGATGACTTCGAGAAGGTCCGTTCGAAGTGAACGAAACCTCGTGGTATTATCCAATGCCAATGCGTCTTTGAGGATTGCGTTGAACACTCTTGAAGCGACTGTTGCATCTCGGACATGCGCCACATCGTACACTTTTGTGGCCGTCCTCCTTTCAGAAAAGCCCCATATACGGAATTTGGTGTTTTGGAAATCCATTGTTGAATGGGAAATAGGGCCTGGGGATGATATGACCTCAAAGTGAAGCAAATCAGACTCTCAAACAAAGGAAAAAAGAAGTAGTACTGAAGGGAGGACTTTGTGATGAACCTGGGTTGAAAGTGCTTCCATTCCTAGCTCTTGTGCTGGGTATGACCGCCGTATGGGAGACTCTGAGATTCCACTGCCAAGTTCAGCTGAATGTTTCATCGAAATTGGACAGACAGAAAGCGGAACAGAGGGAAAATGGTGGTAGCTGAAATTTTCATTTGATCGAGACCTGTAGGCATCTAGAAGCTGAGATTGTACCCATGACACCCTCCACGAAGTGTTTCGCATCCACAGCTGAGACTATAAAGTAAGCTGATCACAGTGCATGCAGAGCACAACAGTTTAGCAACCTGTTGCTTTGGTCCCTGAGAACATCCCGAACGTGTTCCGCCATGATACGATAATTTGTTGAAACCATGCTGCATTGCTGCAAGCCTCTTTTCGGATAAGGCCTGCACGAAGGTCGTATGTGGACGGAATATCATCCGTAGAACAAGACTTCAATTGACCCCTCTTTGTGGCTGGCTATATGGTGACCTCGCTACTGCATAGACTATTTGTATTTAACATTGAGGCGGTCAGTCAAGTTCAGACATAAATTGAGGCTTGCATATACGGACCGGAAGAGCGTCGCAATGCCGCTTTTAAGCAGCCACATTTTCGGATGCCTCGCCACCGGCAACAGCACCTGGATTCAATCACAGACCACGAGAAAAAGGTCTTATGAACTACCAGCTAAAAACAGTTTCTTCGGGGAGGATAAGAGAGTAAACCACAGCAAACTTATCAGCGCGACGGGAAGTAGGTCTCGAGAATTCCTTCCTCGATTTTGCACCCGGTCAGAAATGAACAGAACATAAAACTTTCTTCATTTGACTCGCGACGAACCTATTTTCCAAATCAAGCATCTTAGATCTTCGAAGTGACTGAGGCCGCTATGGAGGAAATTGATAAGAGAATGAGCGCTGTGGACCCCTTAGGTCTGTCGCTTTCTTTGCAGAACATCATGACTTAGATCATAACTAACTAGAAAATTTGAACAGATACCGCTACCTACAGTGATGCACTAGGTGATGCCACCGGTGGAAACCCATCTGCCTACCTCGATTGGAAAGAAAAGCAATATGCTGTCGAAATGGCAGCAATCAAACCACCAACGGCGACCGACGTTATCTCGACCCTGCAAAAAACCAATTTCTCCTCTGAGGACTCCATTATTGCTCTGACCAATGTCCTTTACGTCAATCAAGCCCCAACTCTCGTCCTCAGCTCCTCTGATACTCATATCGTCGCCATACAGCCCTCGTTTTCGCAGCTCGACATCAAAGATCTCGACGCGAAGAGTAATGGACCTCCAACAATGGACGAGGGTATCTTCGAGAGGAGGGATACTAAGGCTGGCCAAGAAGACACTCAACTTTACACCCCGTATCTCGTGAAATTGACAACGCGGTTACAAGCTGGAAAGTCGAAAAGTTCAACCCCGTCAATCGGCCTCCAACTTGGCAAGCTAGTCGTCACATCACCGACGCTATTCCCACCAGGTGACCGAGCAGCAACGAATACGAGTACTCCTTGGCAAGACACGAATTACGTCGCTGTTCTCAACCCCGTCGACCGCAGTGTCTGGGTGTTATTCAACTATGAGCCTATGGACGACATTATGGATTCGGGTCGTGACAGCCTGCCAGTTCCGTTGCCTGGTACTACCAGTCCGGCGCTTGTACTACCCGATGCGCCAGTGGGGCAAATGCCAGTTTTTGACGTCGCGCAACTGCTTCCACCGGCGTCGGTCCAGAAGTGGGCACCTGAAGGTTCAACCCCGGTGTTATTCACGATCAGTGAAATGGTGGGCAGTATCCAGAGCACCTGTAGCATGCGTGGCATGGAGGCAAGCTATCTTCTGTTGACTGAGTTAGCTGCGGGATTGTCATAGAAAGATTGAACGTAGTTTTGAGCTTCTGAGTATGATGTAGCGATAATGAACCCCATTGGAATGATTTTTCTTTCGCGTAGGACCATTAAAAATGTACGAAGTGGTGATGGTCATCCCTAGTCTAGCAGCGACGATGATGGATGTTCGAGCGAGGCCGAGTAGGGCCGTTTGAGCACGAGCAAGCAGAGCCGATGGTCTGACCTGGACAAGCGGCTCTTGCTGGCATACAGAGAAGAGGGCAAGTCTTGGGAGTGAATCTTTGACAAGTTCCCGGGCAAGAGTCGTTTTCCTATCGTTTTACTATTCCCTAAAACGACAAGGCAGACTAGGTGCTTTCTATCCCTGCAATTGGTTGAAATTGGTTGAAGTAGAGCGATGCACTTGAATCGAGTTACTGTTGTAAACTCCTGCCAACAACATTATTGCAAAATGAGCTCTGCTCAACAGGAATGAGTAGTCCCGTGGCGGAAGTGAAATAATGGATACGGGAGAACACTTCACCAAGGAAAGGTAACAGGAAAGGATGATGCGATTAAAATGATCCTAGGTCCATACGCTATGCATAACGTTTCGATCGACTCCCATATTAATATATTCCTCAAAATGGCCTTGTTCCGAGCGTACTAGTTACGAGCAGTATGTTCAAGAAAGCAATTTCCTCTCTTATATACCCACCAGCTGATATGCAACGCTATCGTAAATCATGATCCATGTTAGTATGCTCCCTCGGAAATGATGAATAGAGAAACATCTCAATCTTCTTTGGTCGCCTTCTTCAATCTGCCACTTCGCACCATTGCTCTTATCAACTCGATCGTAACCTCAACCCCAGTCTTGACCGCAGCAGCGTCGCTATCAACAGGAACGTGGAGGAATACCGCTCGCCGCTTCTCGTCCTTCTTTGTAAGGTGTGCCAGGCTTGAGTAATATATGAAGTCGCAAAGATATCTGCCCGCATCCTCGGATATTCTAACATCAGTTGTCTGGCTCACATTAGCATAAGCTTCTACTCGCAGTATAACACCCTCACAGGCATTGCGATCCGCCATCTCCTCCACACGTCATCGACGTCAACAGCCGTCAACAGCTTTTCCGGCAATCCGTGCCAGATCCACTCCTGGCCCTCAATATTCTTCCTTACATGATCTCCTAAGAGCTCGTTATCCACATCCTCCATGCCGTAGCCGTCCCGGTGTGCTCGCCTCTCTACACTGTAGAACCTCCTCCCTGACGCCATCCCGATATGAACTGCATAGTCGATCTTCCTCCCCTCCCATAGCTTTGGCACCAATTCCCTTACCGTCTTGTACGCGACCTTTATGGGTTCAGTATGGACCAGTATTCGAACGGGAGGACTGCTTGCGATCGCTGAGAGATCAGCTGTTGGCGATGCCGGTGGGGGGAGGAAGGGTGGTAGAGACTTCGCGATCTCCCAGGAAGGATTCACGGGATACTGGGCTCGGAAAGGCTAGAGGATGACCTATGTTAGCTGGTTCTGGTGTGGCCAACAGTTGCACAGAGGAGGATTTTTGTAGGCTGGTGGATTGTGCGACCTGGCACGCGACTGGTTAGGGAGAGACCTACACCGAAGCCCGTTATGAGAACTGTGATCTCGTCTTCGTGAGTCAATGGTTCATCGGGATTTGAACCCATGTTTCGTGGCGCTCAAGGGCGGAGGTTGACGTGGTGAGAAGGAAGTGAGGTGTTGAGTTGAGATGTCGTGATCGAGTGAGGGAAGAGCGTCGAGATGGCGGGGTTGTTTTACGGAGGTACAGCCCATAATGATAGTAATAGCGCTAGCAGGGGTCAATAGAAAACTCGTGATTTCAATACTCGATAACTTTTGCTACACAAAACATAAAAAGTTCATTTAAACGCTGTAAATATCCATAACAGTGCCGTATAGTAGTACTACCTTTTTTCAAGTTTTTGCAATACGTTGTTGTTGCGATACCAGGTTGAAAAGTTCGGACCCCTGCTAGCGCTATTACTATCATTATGGGCTGTACCTCCGTAGGTTGGGCCTAATGTTTTAGCGGCTCGCTTCCCCGCACTCGCCAGAAAGTGCTTCCCGAACACTAAAGCCGCTGTCCAGGTACTATTGATAGTTGAAATAATCAAATAATAACGTAACGGAAAATTTGACTTTACTTATTGCTCTTCCCTCTTTCGCAGGTGGATAGCATATTGCCTTCGGGCCGAGCTCTCAAGCTCCACCGCTCCTGGTAGACAGAAAAAGCGGGACTCACATTCAATGTCCTAAGCCAAATTTGAACATCTATTTAAATTCTAGAGGGGAGAAAACAGATTTTCTAGAATTTCCAGGAGTACACAATGAGAGTAGACTTTGAGTGTCCAATAGCGCAAGTATTTGCATTGTCCGGCTTGCCATCGGACATTGAGAGCTTTTTCTGTTCACCGCGAACCGCGGAACATTTCGCTGACACGTCAAGAACACTTTAAAGGTCCAATCAACGGCTAGATAGATTTAAGAATGAAAAATAGAGATGTAGTGTGTTCGAACTGTATTTAACCTTATTCAGACCTGTACAAATGGAAGGTTCCCATCTAGGAAGCGCTGAAGTTTTGAAGTGTTGGAAGTAACGTCCAGAAAATTAGCGGATCATTTACTTGTATGTGATTGTTAATAGCAGTGAGGAGCGCAGAGAATGATTGGGCAATTCACATGCGCTTGCTGTTACATCCTAGCTGCAAACGAAGAATTAAGAGAAATAATTGAAAGCTTACACCTCGGAGGATTTTGAACAAACGGGAGTATGCAGGCTTGAATGCTTAATCGAAATTCCTACTTAATAGGCCTCAAACTGGGTTGGGGGAGTGAGATTGGCGAGGTACCGATGAGGGTCTTTTAATAGACAACGAATACCAAAGGTGTATAGCCGTAGTACAATAATCTGATCTGCACAATCGGAAGAGATCGTGGAGTATCATGGCTTTGCAACGACCCACGAATCCTGCCCACAGAAGCGATTGGTTGTGATAAACGAAGTATCACTTGGTATTGGCCAAGAAATAAAGAAGAAAAAAGGACATATCCACAAATCTGATCCGCGCGACGACGTGGCGCCCATTTTCCAATATTTCTTCGGCCCAGGCCGTCCGAACGAAGGATTGCCAAGACTCACAAGAGATGAGCTGTTCACGGGTTGAACATTTACCCCTCACTTCCCCCCTCACGACTGGTTTCTACCCCTGGCCGGAAAGCGGGACCCTCGAGCTGAATTCCCAAATGGTCTTCACTGCAGCTGCCTCGACGCACGAAGACCAATTTCTTCACAGCAGCGTACGGAAACAGTATCGTGGTAAGAAACTACCACGCCAAGCAAGGCAATGCATGCTGAACTTACGAGATCACGAGCCATAATACAGCAATTGTGCATCTGAGCACTTTCAGCTGAGGGGCTGGCCAGATGCTTTCAACAATCTGATATCTTGATAAGCGACAGCTTCCCCGCAATCCATCTGCTGATGCTCTAGCAACGGAACGCAAATTTGAGCCTCCAACCTTGAAGTTTCAATACGAGAAATGCTATACTCGCTCTTCTGCACCCTGCTGGCTGCGGCAGCTGTTACCACAGCATGCGTGATTCCTCCTGGCACCCTCTCTAATACCATTACCACCGGATTCGGCGTTCTAGTCCAGAATCCTGCATTCCCCGTCATTCATGACCGTTATATGAATCTGGATGCCGCTGGTGGTGGTGACCAGCATTTGTTCCTGGATCCTGTTGGCGCCCGTACATTCAACCTCGTACTCAACGCCGGTGTCCTCGCACAAAATATTATTCACGCTGTGATCAACGGCGAGGTAAGATTTGCCATAACTTGCCCTACGCGAACCCAATACCACGAATTGAGTTATTGACGTTGAATTGTAGTATTCTGCCGTCGACAACACAACGAAGATGTTCATGACGGAGCGTGGTGATCCAAAGGCGAGTTTTCAACCAGTGTATGGCTGCAATCCGGATAACGACGCTTTACAAGTTCAGCTAGCTTTTGTAACTCGCGAACAGTCACCCGTCGGGGGGCTCATCTGCGTTCGTGTAGCCTCAGGAAACAGGGGGTATGAGTTTAGATACTCCCCTCCGAATAATCCTGGTAAGTCATTGAATTCGACAGAGTGAAACTTGAAGGTCATGACACTAAGTTTCTTAGCATTTGACCCGACGAATCCATGCATGCCGGTGACAATGGTTTTGGTGACATCTGGCAGTGTTGTCACCACTGTTCCCACAAAAACGACAATACCGACAACCACAGCCACATCGACAACCACAAAGCCGACAACCACAAATCCTACAACCGCCACAACAGCCCCCACATCGACCGCAACAAATCTTCCATACACAGACATGACCGCCAAAGGCTACGCCTTTGTAGGCTGCTCTCCAGAGCAACGACGTGCCACCGACGGCCCCGGACGAACACTCAGTGGAGCCCTCTACGCAGACGACGCCATGACGAACGGGAAGTGTATGGATTTCTGTACATCGAAAGGGTACGCATTTGCCGGCACGGAGTACCGCAGGGAGTGTTGGTGTGGGAATTCCGTCGCTCCTGGCAGACAGCCAGGGACGACAGTTGCTAGTTTGGCTGGGTGTAGCTTCAAGTGCGGAGGAGACACAACGCAATACTGTGGTGGAGATTCGTGGTTGAGTCTCTACAAGAAGTGTGCTGTGGGAGGTCCTTGTGTTAATGCGGTGTTTACTTGAACTTGCTCTCACTGGATGACGGGAGATGGTTCGATTTGATCAATGACTACGATACAGCGATCAAAGGGGATTAGAGGAACAGAGGACTACGGAAGAGCGTTCAGTCGTTTGGACAATCTTCCCGGGAATTTCCCGCTACTGTCTTAATTTCTAACCGATCTTTAGTTAATGGATTAAACAACCCATACTCTTGCTACAAAGGCACTACCATTTTACGCCCGAGGGTTTCATGGTGCGAGGATATTTGGAACGCTGCATTGTTCACAGCCCGGATACGTAAGTAGGCTTGAGACGGCGCTGTGAGCCAGCATCAAAGTTGATCAATCTCATGGCGGACAGTATTCGCTTCCCTCCGACCCCTGAATACGAACTGGCCAATGATCAAAGGGGATAAATTTGATATTGGGACCTCATTCAGATACAACACTACGACGACCGGTCTCTAGGCAACTGTTTAATTACAGACGGTGCTTCGGTTTAAGAGAACATAAATCCACCACTTTTTTCTGATGCGGGTGTCTTTTCATTATCTTGTTCTCTCACAGACTTCCAAATCAGCATTCACGCACCATCCAATCCAATCCACTGACTATATTCAAGATGTCGCTCTACACCACACCCGGTCTCCTGATCCGCGATCACCCATACAACTACACCGTCAATAGCTCAGAAGAATGCACTCTCACAACCTGCTCCCTCCTTCAAGCCCAATACACATATGACCCCTCCCTCACCGGAAACGCTTTCGTTGCCTCCATTTTCAGCCTCCTCCTTCTCCTCCAACTCATCCTCGGAAGCTACTACCGAACAATTGGCTTCACAATCGCCATGTCCTGCGGCCTCATCCTCGAAATAATCGGCTACATTGGTCGAGTGCAAATGCATTTCAATCCCTTCATCCAACAGCCTTTCATGATGTAAGTTCCCTCCCCCTTTCCCTTCAACTACACCTCGCTCTGGAGTTCTGGTATTAAAGGGAGGACAGGCAACTCATCTGCGTAACAATCGCCCCCGTCTTCTTCACCGCAGCTATCTACCTCGGCCTCTCGCGCATCATCGTCGTTTACGGGACCCACCTCTCTCTTCTCCTGCCTGGCACAATTGCTATCTCCTTCATGGTCTCGGACTTCTTTTCACTACTTCTCCAAGCGGGTGGTGGCGCGGTGGTGGAAATTGCGAATGACGTCGCGACGGAAAGGATTGGGATCCATCTTACGGTTGCGGGACTCGGCTTGCAGGTTGCAAGTTTGGGTCTGTTGTTACTAGGGTGTGCGGATTTTGTGAGGAGGTGCAGGGGGATGGGGAAGGTGTTGTCGAGTGTGGATGCCCATCAGAGGATCAGACGAAAAGGGTTGTTTAGATCGTTTCTTGGTGGTGAGTTGGTGAAAGTTTGAGAGGTTGCGTACTTGATGGCTGACTGGAGAAAGGACTCCTTTTTGCTACACTTGCCATCCTTACGCGCTCAACATACAGAATTTTCGAATTGCAAGGTGGGTTCCATGGCAAGCTTTGGAACAGTGAAGTGGACTTCAGTAAGTGTGACCTTCAAGGAAATCTTTCGCTTTTGCTATTGTTAATGAGTCGTGCTAAATTCATATTCACCAGTGGTATGTGATGGAACAATGGTTGCGTTGGCAAGCCTTTGCCTCACGATCTTGCATCCAGGTATGGCTTTTCATGGATATTGGGATGCTGCAAACTTCAAGCTCAAGAATAAGGGGTTCTGTGGTCGCGGAGTGTAATTCGAAAGTGGTTGGAAGTTGCCAAGTTGAAGCGCCGTGCAGAGAAAGTGCATCGTTATTACGAGTGAATTACTGTTGAGTTTTCCAACATGAACCTCTACGCAGTATGCCTCTCATCCTATCCTCTCGTCTGGTGAGACATTACTAGCGTATTAGCCACAGCTGTGGCACCCAATAAAATTCCAGAAGCCACGTTTTGAAGATAAGTTACAAAGTTGAGGTGCAACGCCCTGTGGCTAATGCGTTTGTCAGGTCACTGCAATTTTAGCGCCGACGACGAGGAAACGACTCTTCCTTTCCCTCGCCAAGCGTAATGATCAAGCGTTGATACGCTGTCTCACGCCAGGGCCGAGGTGAATCAACTGGTCGCTGTTAGCAGTTTAATTCAGCGATGCGTGAAGAAAGAAATATCTATTTATTCAATCCTCGCCCTTATCACGACTTCTGTTCTGCTTTCATGTTGCCTTCGTTGACCCTCAATCGCGTGACCCTGCCTGTTCTTCCCTCAAGTCCGAAGCGAATACGAACCAACCAATGAAAGGGCAGAATATTCCGTGCCTAAACGAGTCGTCACTGTTTCATTTCTTCAGGGACCAGCGACCGTCTTAAACAACGTTCTCTACCTTTTCAATCCCAGAAATGCTGTTTCACCCTCCATCTCTATGCTTTCCATCGTCTTTGAAGCCCCTGAATACGAATACGAATACGATCTACCCCGCCCCCTTTTCCACCTTGCTCCCTCGGGGCCGAAAACCTGGCAGCTTCCACGGCCAGAGCCATCACTAGCCGAAAGTAGAGGCAATATAGAACAGCAGGAACTGCCCAATAGCACTATGACACGCGCTTTTGTACCGAGAAAGGGAGCTCCAAAATCTAGAAGAGGATGTTTCACCTGCAAGTAAGCGTTGATATCTTTCCCTGCGCCAAGTGAAAGGGCATCAGAAACTTGATGATGACCATCTATAAAGAGTTAGGCGTATTAAATGTGATGAGGCGAGGCCTCTCTGTTTCCGATGTACAAGCACCGGTCGCAAATGTGACGGCTATGCCGGCCAAGGTCCACCCTCGAATCTACCAGATCCAAACTTGACAGCCGTGACGATTAACAGCCTCCCAAGCCAGACACCTCAGGGCCGAAGCTTTAATTTCTTCTGTGCCTGCACACTCCCTAATATATCCCTTCACTTCGGCTCTCCACGCTGGACTCGATTAGTTCTCCAAGCCAGCAGCTCAGAACCTGCACTCCGACACGCAGCTGCTGCTATTGGTGCACTTCATGAACATCTCGAAAGTGGGAAAACCTCTGCAGACAACTCCACCCCTCAAGGAAACAAGGATATCGAATACGCAACCCAACAATATGCCCAAGCTTTGATCTTCCTCAGCTCCCTCCTCACCAACTCAGATCATCGATCAATTGAGCTTGCTCTGATTGGGGCTCTATTGTGCATGTACTACGAAGCTCTGCAAGCGAACTTCGAAACTTCACAGGTCCATCTAGAGAACTGTTTACTGGTCCTCCAGTCACTGTTACCAAGCGAAAGAAGCTGGCTCACACATACCACCGACAACAGTATGCAGATCGATGGCGACATCGTACAAGCCTTCGCACGTCTCGATATCGAAGCATCGTGCACTTTGGGCAAACGCTCTCCAGGACTCTGCGTATCAGAAACTTTACTGGAAATACCAACAGCCTTCGCCTCCATCACCCAAGCACGCCAGCTCCTCTACGGTCTCACTAGCCAACTTCACTCCTTCATGCGTTCCACGGAAGATGCCTATAAAACCAACATGGACCCCATCCCTCTGCCCATCATCGCCGAAGTCAATCTCCACCAAGCACGACTCAAAGAATGGGAAGTCTCATTCTCCGCCTTTCTCGCCGATCCAGCGACAAAACTCTCACGTCAAGAACAGCAAGGCGCAAATGTGCTTTCAATCCAGCAGAAAGTTACGTTTATGAAAGCTATTACTTGTTTCTATGCCGAGGAAACGTTATTTGATCAGTTTGACCAAGAGTTTGAAGAGATTCTTTGTTTGGCGGAGTATTTGATTTACTTGTCAAACGGGTTTGAGAGGAAGAGTAGAGGGGAAAGGGAGAAAAAGAAGGTGGTACTGAGTTTTGATATGGGCATCATCGAAGCACTGTTTTGGACTGCGATTAAGTGCCGCTGTCACTCGATCCGTCATCGTGCGATTGGTATGCTGAGAAAGATCACTTGGCAAGAAGGGGTGTGGAATGCGGAGATGATGGTCGCGATGGCGGAGAAGTTCGTCGAGATGGAAGAAGAGCAGATTCGTGGTATTGGTGGGAATCGCGGAATGAGCGAGAGTGGAAGCAGAGTTCCGGAATGGTTGAGACTACATGACCATGGGTGGGAGATGAATTTGAAAGGGAGGAAGACGGAGATTAGGGCAGGGAGGAGGGAAAATGGGGTGGATGGCGAGTGGACTTGGTTAAGGGAAGAGGTTGTGTGGTAATTGCTCAAGTCGAATGACCACAGATTCTTCTTGATAGACTTTCAAGTGTTCCTTGTGAGATTACCGACGGAGATGGTAGTAGAGCATGACTAGCTGATGAGCGAAATGCTTCATTCTATGAATAGGAATGAGGGCAAGGCGAGATTGTCCCTAAACCTTTGGGTTCTTGGGAATACGAGACATGACAGGTCAATTTGAATTTCTATGCTTCGGCACGTCACCTTTCAACGCTGCCCGAGCGCAGCGGCTTTGAAGTGGTGAATCACTCGTACACTACTTGCAGAACTTGCGTTCTGAATCCTTCATGGTGACTCAGCTTCTTCGGCGCCACTTTCATCTCTCACTGTGCAATACAGTAGCGCATGATGTATTCATTTGTGCCAGTTCTGGGAACTTTCGGAGACGAGTATCAGGAAGTGATTCAATTTCTCGTCACTGTGCTTGATACAGACCTACCTTTATTGAACCCGCTCGATGGATTTTCGGATCAACATTGGGTATAGAGGGTGCAGGGATTATTCTATAAAGATGCTTTTGAGATGGCAAGGCTCCTCTAGTTCTCAACCCAGACCATATGCCTGGGTTCTGAGATCGAGGAGGGTTGGGTGATTGATGGCTATGTGTCGCTCTAGACGGCGGGTCATCCAATTTTGGTGAACTCTGTCGATCTTCGTGGTCACATAAATTATACTAATAGCCCTATTTAATCATATTCTTGAGTTACATCGCTAAGGAATCCTTTTCTAGTATTCTGCTCACAGTCAATAATGTTTATCTAGGTGAGCTGGCTGCTAATTAGGTGCGTATCTCATCTCACGAACATGGCAACGAACCATAAATCGAAGCCCATTGGCTGAGATAAGAGACACTCTCCAGTAAATCTTCTGCTCCCGTGAGCAAGATCGGCCCAATTCCAAATGCTTGCGAGTGATGGGGCTCGGCTCACATTACTTCCTATCGCTATTTGGCATGATCTCGTCAAAATCACCTTACTACCTTGCTCGAATGGCTGTAGCTTTATCGCAAAGCAAATATGAACGGGAGAAGGCGGAGGATGAGGTTATAGACGAGATCCTTGAGAGCCTCTAAATAAGCTTGGAGGTAGTCTTGGAGACTGTGGGCAGGTTGGGTCTCGTAATACCCGAAGCTCTGTAATAACGGGTTCGGGAGGGAGGCTTCTGCCTCTTTCTGACGCTCGCAAGGCTCTTGGAAGCCTACGGTCCACGCTTCGTGCCTCCTGGTATAGTTTATCTCGCATCGCGGAAAACGTTGCAAAGGGAACATACGTCGCCTCACCGCTAACACAAAACCTCCCTGATATAGCTGCGGCGATTGTGTGGCTTCCGAGAGTCCTACAAGCATTAAAGGGCTCGTTCGTGGACAGGAATGAAAACCGTCTGTTTTGCCACGTTTTACAGAGATTACACAAAACTCGAGATGAGTTGCCCGGGCTAATACTTCCGTCTTTTAAAGAATAAGGCTATTGCCTTGCGTATACCACAAATTATTTTCAGTCTAGATACGCCATTGCCCTTGCAAAAGTCTCTTCCTAATATGATCCAGCTTCGGAACGGCCGGATTCCTGAGAGGGGATGCACAGTATACAATCGCAGGCCTGATAGGGCTGAAGCGGTAGGAGAAGGATCCACCAAATATTGGGTGAGGGATGAGAAGAGAGTCGAGGATTGCTGTCCAGAGAATATGTCCATAGTCAATCCTGAATGAATTTGCTTCGTACGACTTCCAGATGTGAGATCATGATGTCTGTCTGTATGGGGGCACGTCGTAACTATCCGCTCCGATGAATATTTGCTATTTCCAAAAGACTCCGAGCATCGTGAAGTGACGGGCTTAGGAGTAACGAACTGAGTCCCTCGGAATTCTCAAATAGCTAGCGACACTCGACAGACTGCCAGGTGGATATTTCCTCATGGCCGTGGCTGCTACTGAGGCGAGGCCATTAGCGAGCTAGTTGACAAAACGCGGGGAAAATGTAAAACCCCCCCCCCCCCGGTGTCGATTAGGGGTGTCGATTGGGAGCAGGCTAGGCGCTCGGACAGGAACACCAAAACTCTGGCTTTTTCTTTATTTTAATTTAACTTTATAATGAATTAATATAATTTAATACTTGTTCTATTTCCTTATAGCGCTAATTAAAGGCTATTTAAATATATTTTTTTTTAATAAATTTTGGGTTAGCAATAGCTCTTTAAATTAAAGAAGTTACGAGCCCAACCTCATGGGTCTGTACACACAGGGCATTAAGCGAGAATTTTCAGGCTTCACGAATTCGCTTAGGGGCTTTCGAGAACCAAAATCCTCTTAATTACTAGAAAGTTAGAAGATAATAAAGAATAACTACAACTTCATATTCGGGAATTTGGGACTAAAGGAACCGAAGTACGATTTGATTAATTAATCTTTAAAGATTTCTAGGTTTGAAATTTTATTTATCACTAAAATGCCCTGTGTGCACAGACCTATGAGGGTGGGCTCGTTAAAAGTTTTATATTTTATAACCTATAAGTAAGCTCAAGAAAGCCTAGAAATTTAGCGAAAAAGTCCCTAAAACCAGATTTAAGAGCCCTATAAACCCATAATTTATAAGGCCTTATAGGGCTCAAAAACTAGAACTTATTTAATTAGTATATACTCCCTAAAATTAAAATACTATTTTAAGGTATCTTTTTATTATAAGTTAGAAAGCACGTGATTATAATACAATGGTTATAATATACTAGCTTAGACTTGTATTGAAAAATCTAATTTCAGATTTTTAAAGAGCTCAGATAGCCAATTAAATATCCCTGCCCCAATCGACACCCTAATCCTGGTAATCGACACCCCTAATCGACACCGGGGGGGGAGGGGAACGGTGTCGTTTTACATTTTCCCGTTTCACCCCTGCATCTGATCTCCCATCCTCCTCGCCTTGAACGCCGCTTCCCGACCGCACCTGCTCCCGAGTCAGGACTAGCCGGCAGAAAGACAAGATTCCTTTCAGACGTTCATCCAGCGGATGCAAAGGGACAGGTTGATCGTGTCAGGCACGTTCCTGACGTCGTCCCAGAGCCGCTTGAGCTGAAGGATACTGCCGCCGACCTGTGTGGATATCTGGACGACGGCGACACCGCTAGCGAAGACGCCTAGTACCTCTGCCATTTCTGCGAGATTGAGTGGCTACTGACTGAAAGTGGGACTGACGATCTTGAACCTGAGGTGATGACGGAATTGACGTAACCGGCCTAATAGCGGGAAACGAAGTATTTTAAAGAGCTGTGAGGAGGATTCAGCCTCACAGAATGCCCTGCGCTGCTTTATGCCATCCGTCGAAACATGACAGTTCACTTCGGCCTCAGCCAAATGTCAAATCTCCAAACCCCATTCCCTTGTCAGCTACCTGCCCAACCCTCCCATCCCCAGCCCCATAACCGCCAACCAAATCTCGACGAAATCCCGGCATCCTACGCAAAGTATGGTTTCCCGGCCTGCCAAACTGCAAACTCGGCTGTCTTGAGACAGGAGGCAATGCCGGGATGCTACGAGTTAGAGGGCGTATCTTTTGGGGTGTGTCGTGGAACTTGAGAAATGAAGCTTCGCTACTCATCTCATGACCCTGAATATTAAGATTCGGTTTTATCTTCGACGGCTCTGCCATGGCCGGTATGAAAGATGAGGGGGTTGGGGATTTCGATCTTGATCCTGATTTTGCAGTGTAGGTGTATGAGATGTTCCCCTGCTTGCGGCTAGCAGAACTCCCTAAAGGTAATTCAGATACAGTCGAGAGTTCCTGTTCATTTTGTTCTCGCAAAATGTTGGGGGAACTTTGTGAAGAGCAAGCCACATTGCCCGAGGCCGATAGCCATTCTCCGCCCTCTGAGCCAATACAAAATGTCCCTAGTGTTTTGTAAGAGTCCGTGGCGTTCTACCTTCTCCCAGTGCTCAAGTTAGTACGAGCGGAAAGTTGAGATGTTGGATTGCGAGGGTGCAGAGGGGCGGGTCTTGAATCGCCAATGCCATAGTCCAGCTTCTGTAGGTTGTTAAACGTTATTGTTGAGCCAGCTGTTGCCGTATACAATAACGACTCATCCATCTCGAGCCCTTGGGGTGATACCTTAGATGTTACAGCAAGACAATCATCGACGGGCACCTCCTTAATAGATTGCGGGCTGGTATATTGCTGAGAAGACTCGCCAAGCCCGGACACATCGCTAGTTGACTCTTTGAAACACTGAACTTGTCCCTGGCCAAATATCACAGCACCAGATTGTTTCAAGCGTCCCGGTTTCCTAGCATGTCGGAATACGCTGTTCGTTGCAAATTGTTGTATACGATCGCATTTGCACCACTCATCCTTTAGCTTTTGCCCCTGACGAAGGCAAGGTTCGAAAAGATGATCAGAACGATGCCACTGTATACCAGATGGAGTGATCTCCTTCTGGGTCTGTTGGGAACCACATTGGAGGTATAGGGCTTGCAGAGTCGGTACCTCTACCTATAATGTCCGCAAAGTCAGTATATACCTTTCGAAAAATTCACGAGCGGGATTGCAATACTCCAGTTTAGTGGAGATATTCTGATTGCCATATCTAGAGAAAATAGTACAGATGGAGTAATTTGACTTACGGCAAGATAATCGCTGCCCGACGGCATCTCTCTGAATACTTCACACAGCGCGCCGGGATCATGTGGCTGAAAGACTTCCCCAAAGTTTGTCCCTAGAAGCACGAGAGCGTTAATGTCTCGAGCGAACTCAGGCCAATTTCCACAGCTCTTCTCAAGTTGAATTCCTTCAGAAACATTTCTCGTCTCTTCGTAACCAGATCCATGAACTCGTAGCCTCGAATCTGCCTTTTCCGCGACATCTTGAGCTCTATTCCAGCCCCCGTCTCACCTTTGGCATTGGCTTGACAGACCTCAAGGCGACTGTATAGATCTCCAACCAAATCTTTGAAACGTTGCGTGCCGACTTCATCCTTGCCCATACAATAGTCACGCCTAACAACGACATTGGCATTGGCAACCATCGCTGCACGTACAGAAGATTGTGACTTCGGATCTGCACCTTGTAGCTCAATATCCTTGCCTCCAATGCCACATGAGCCCATCCTCTGGGCGTGAAAGATGATGTGAAGAATTGCCCTTTCACCATCAGTCAGCCACGCACGTCGATGTGCCGTGTCCTGGAGAATGACGTGGATCTGTTTTGCATAGTCGAGAGTCTCCAAATAGTAATTTGGCTTTTCGGAGGTGAATGAACCACTATGCTTCCCAAAAGAGAAAGTCAACTGGCCTGTACCAATCTTTCCAAACCCGACACTTCCCGAGGTTAACTTGACGCTCAGTTTCGCTGGCGACTTTGCATTAGAAAATCCGATACTATTGGACTGCAAGCTGGATGCTCCTAGGAGACGGAGTAGTGTTAGCGTGATACATGCAGTTGATTGTCGGAACAGTCAGGTCCATGTCTTTGTACGTATGGCTTACCAAGATGATTCATCGATTCAGAACACCATCCTAGAAACGTCCTCGTGGACAGTAAATCCTCTTCATTTAATATTTCAGCTGGCAAGCGAACTGGACAAAGAGAAGCGATGTCTTCATATCTGATTGTTGCTTGTCCGTTTTTCAAGACATGCCACTGAACTGAGTCACCATTGCGCGCCACTGGCACAAATGCTATACATCTGCCTGTCAAGATGTAGGCATTATGGAACCGTGTAGCTAGGGGAACTCCACCAAGGCCAGCCATGACCTCAAGTGGAAGCTCTAATCCTTTCTCGTTGTTCGAACGCTCTGGGATAGGGAATCCGGTGGCTATGGTGGAATTTCCGACAATTTCATTCCAGCAACTACCAGGGTCGTCCGATGTGAGGGGACACAGCTCGCTAGCTATGTGAAAGGTACGTAAAGGCACATCGAATCTCGATGAAGTTTCTTGAAACGTCACGTAAGAATATCCCAGTCCAAGTGGTGATACTCGACAAGCAGAGGTGATCCAGGCAATTTGCTGTGCTATAGCGACAATGAACTCTTCACTCCCGGTGACTAGGAGAGATTATTCAACGAGATTGACAACGATACCACTTCCTGGGGCGGTAAATAAGATAGCTATGGCAGAATTAGCGGAAGGAGCAGGCACTGGAAGAAATGAGTCGAAGATGAGCGCCATAGTTGGTGAACAGGTAAGAGACAAGACAGGGCATCATGCTGTTACAGGATACCCTGGGCATTGGTAGTAAGAGCACTTGCGCTTTCAGTTGAAGATTTGGTTAAATCAGCTCGTCTTGTTATGTTGTCGTCAAGAACCGGGAGGAAATGAGCTCAATATACGCCACGTTTGCGAATCTTGGCGTGATGGTTCTTGAGCACAATGGAGTATGAAATAGAAAAATGCTTACTTCCTGAGTCATCCTGTCGTGGATAACTATTGATCGCTCCTTGAAGCGAGTTAAGCAAGTGCATAGAGTATGCAGGCCATGTGCGCTGCAGATAAGTGCGAACCGTGGACATGTATGCATCTGTTCCCCGACCAGTGATTGTCAGAATCGAATCCACCTCCTGGTCAAGACCAAGGGGGTACTGCTCTTGGATGAAACTAATTATATCCCAATCGAAATCAAACATGGCGGCATGACATTTTGGCTGTCGGTTGCTGTCATCCGATTAGCGTTGGTTTGGTGTTCGAGCGGATAGGAAGAATGGAACGGAAAGTCTTGAAAAGGGTTTACTGGCCGTACTTAGATTTTTTCATTGGTCTTCGAAGACTAAGCATTATACGCTTGCGAATAAGATTCAGCTGATTCTCGTGATAATGTTCGAGCAAAGTCCGAATGTCAGCGATGAGATCTTGGAAAGCGTGGTGATTGATAAGAAACGTCTCAATATCTTTGTCCTGTCCTAGGGTTCTATAGATCAGTTCTTCCATCTCGCTACCATTGCTCGAGTCTGTGCAATCGAAATCGGATAGCGATCCGAAATTTGAAACCCATTTCGTTTCTTCAGCATCCAGGTCTATGCGATTGGGTATTCGCTCGTGTTGAGCGCCGGCAAGTTCGTCATCCAGTGAGGCTTCGTCGGGCAATACTGTATACCATGATCCTACTTTCTCCGCCCATGTCGACTCGGGTGCGAGTCCCTTCAAGTTCTCTTTGGCGAGGTTTTGTTGTGCTCGCCTCGTTTCACAACCCTCCAGGGCTTCTTCGAAATTCTCTAAAATATCGCGGCGCAAAAGTCTAATCTGTTTCGCGGCTTGTCTTTGGCTTCGTTGGCCTGCATCGTTCTTAACTTGCACGGAATAGTTCTTGAGCAAAAGCTGAAAGCGATGCCGAAATGGAACCCTCCATTGTTGGCTGCTATGGGATCCGAGTAATTGCCCAGGAAGGCACTTCAGGATAGCCTCGGTGAACCTTCTGACAATATCTTTCCTCTGAGCTGAAGGTAGCATAGTCACGAAGGAAATCGTCGACTGGCCGTCTCCATTGGTATCTTGCGTCACCACCTGCGCTAGATCCTCATTAATAGCAGGTAAGGCAGTGCCTTCCGTAATTTGTCGCTGCAATGCCACAACCTTGGGACCATTTGATGGAACGACATCAATTATTGATGTCGGAGCAGTTGACTGAGGCCCCGAAACGGTACTACTTCTCACTGTATTCGTCAGTGTTCTGATTGAGGATTTCAATAGAGGATGGCCCAGGTGTGAGTCCAAGATTGCCACCGCATCCTTCGCAGTCATGTCCTCGAAATGAACAACCTCGTGGCAATGCCAAATCATATTGCCTCCACTGAATACAATCAGACGATTCGAGAGTAGTTTCGCTTGGAGCATCCACGCTAGACTTTTCCTAGTAGGAACCGGAATGAGGACGTTGACATTAGGTCGGACCTCTGCCACCACCTGGTCGATTTCGCGTTCCGTGGAAACGCCTTGCAAGGGAGAATTGGCATTCTTGCCATCAGCTGCAACGATGGCAACAACCGCGGTCGCATATATCTTGTCCATCTGTCCAATCTGTATCTCTTTCTCGCCTTTATCATCTTGTTTTATACACAAGGCATCGACCCATAAGTATTAGAGGCCGACCCCTCGGGCTACCTCCATTGCATCTATAATAGCTTGTGGTAGAGTGACTTTTTCTGGTGCAAGAGCTCCTTCGTTGAAGTATTTATTAATAGTTCTGTTATCCAGCTTGGCATATGTATAGTCACCCCAAACGTAGCTCAGAGCGGCATATCGAACAACTTCCGAGGTACACGTATAGAGACGATATTTCTTTAAGTCAATAACCCGAAGATACGCGACTTGAGATCCCCGCTGCTCTCCGCGGGGAGGAAAAGGGCCACACCTGTGATGATTTTCGCAGGCACTCAACCACTTTCCTCCAAGGGAGAGATCGATCTTCTTCTCTAGGATTCTGCCGTACCGCAGCGTTGATCCAGACTCAGACTGCTCGACTATTCCTGTAGCAACCCTAAGATGAAACCTGCTTATTTCAGCAAGCGGCGACAAGAGCTCCCGGTTGTGTGCAGCGACATGGACTGCAATTAGCCCAGCTTCACTACTGGCTCGTGTATGCAACTTGATTAATACCCAGCAAGGTAGTCGCTTCCTTTTGTTTCCGGAGAAAATCGTTGCAGCTGTCAACGCTCCGTCCACTCCTTCAAGTATCCTCATATCTCTCTCCCTCATACCTGCGCCTCCAAATATTGTGATCTTCGCCGCCGCCAAAGCACCAAGAAGGAACTTATCTGGAATATCATCTAAAAGCGGAGAGCTTTTGGCCATGATCGGACTGGTTGCGTTCAATGCCGACTCGTCGTTCTTATTAACAGGGTGGAACAATTTCTGTACTTCGGCTTCGCCGTCAGGTACTTCCCGGCTGAGTCCAAAGGGCCAAACTGCTTCGCTGTTGAACATTCTTTTCAGCAGGGTCGCCTTTGCAACCCAATCGCCAAACGATACTCCCTTGAGACTGGTCTGAATGTAGTCTTGTACGTGGTCATGGAGCAAAGGGTCATTCTCTTCACGACACAGGACCTGGAAGATAAGACGACAAAATATACACCATTCGCGTCGCAAAATAATTCGCTCAAGTGGTCGAACGTATTCGTATATCTCTCGGCCCGGTGTAAGTCCATCGCCAGGAAGACATTCCTCAAAGTTCATCTTAGAGCAGTCTTTGCATAATCTCTTCTGGCGCTTGAAGCCACGTTCTTCGACGACCGTCTTCGATATGTCCATGGTGTCCTCCTTGATATCGATGGCCATTGCGGCGATGTCATCCGAGAACCGCGTTACCTTCTCAATCATACTGCGAACGGCTTCCTTCCCAGACTTTCGTTTGACGAAGTTGGGCTTCTTCCCTCCAAAGGGAATGGAAACGACCTCGTTCCCATCCTTATCGGCAGTGGAATTTGATCGCGAGCGGTTGGGAGTTTGGTCCTGCGACTCGCTGAGCTCGTGGATATTGCTATCTGACTTTGCGCGCCGACGAAAAAGGGGAACTTTCAAGCTCGTTAGGCCGCTGGATTCCCCTTTTTCTTTCTTTCCCATAGCATCAGACGACATCTTAACTTGTATACGTGTGAAAGGCGTGCTGCGTGGCGGCGAATCGTCGCGTGTGGTTTCAAACCTCAATGATCATTGCTGCTTTCACAGATGGCGTAGAAAATGAGAGAGGTGAGTTTTGCATTAAGCGCAAAAGCGCAATACGTGAAACGAGGAGGATATAAGCCAAAGAGCTGGTATCAAGTAAGGCTGTCAGTGAGGCTGGCAAGGACAGATGTGCAGGCGGATGCTGGTGCCTACAGTGGACTAACATCCGGGAAGCGCGGGATACCATGCGTGCGGCCCGCACCGGTTTCTTGATTCAAATTCAAGTAGCACGACGTGAGCTGAGGGTGTAGGTGTGCATAGTTTCATTCGTTGAATCTTCCTCTCCCCACCCCACGCCAGGCTGCCAAAGTGCTTGGTAACCTGTTGTAGGGCGTCTTCGCCGTCAGCGAGCCTCGCGACGGGCGTATTTTCTGGGGAGAGTGTGCCCGTCTTGGATCCTTCTCCACGAGGTACGAGTTAGGTTGGGGAAGTGAACTTGTGGCACGTGACGAGCCTTATGAGTTACGTAACCGAACTCCCTACCAAAAGCACGATTTAGCGAATTTTTTATTTCTTAATAATTAGATAACTATAAATCCGTTTTATATAAGATTTCATTTCATAGGCTCTCTATATATAATAAAATAAAATAATAATATAATAATAAAGTATTTTATATAATTAAAGAAAATATTTTAAAAGATATATATTTTATTTTATTTATTAACTTTTAATATATTTTAATAATAAATATATAAAATAGTATAAAAATTATATATAAGGATTTTATTTATTACTTAATCTTTATTAAGAATTCTTTATATATTTAACTTTATAATTTTAAAAATATCTTATTTCAATATATTATAAAAAACTAATAATATTAACTTTATTAATAATATTATATAATAATTACAATGTCTTTAAACTAATAGTTATTTTAATAGCTTTTAATTAAATATTCTTTGAATAATATTTTTATTATAACTTTATATAAGCTTTTTTTTTTTTAATATATAAAGCTCTTAATTACTATTAATTTATAAGATATTAATAAAAATAATATAAACTTTTTATTATAAATACAAACTTAAGATATAATTAAATAAATATAATAAAGAACCTCTTATATATATTAATTTAATATTAAATAATTAATAATATATATATTTATTATATTTATTATATTTATTTATATAGAGCTTTAATAATTAGAGTTTTTATATAAAATATTATATATGACTTTTTATATTATTTTTATATCTTATAAATACCTTTTTATTTAAAATTAAAAATTTAAGAATTTAAATTATTGGTTTTATAATTACGCTTTTTATACTTATAATATATAGAATTTTAATATATATCTTAATATAAATATTATAAAATAGTAAATTTATAATTTTTTTACTTTATAATAATATATAATATAAAACTTATATTAAGAAATATTAAGTATTTTGATTATATAATATATAAAGTGTATTTTATATACTTGAAAGATCTCATATCTGAAAAATTAGACTATTTTATAAAGTGGTTATCTTTTAATTAATTAAACTATTTTTATGTAAAACGTGCTTTTAGTGGGGTCGTGCTTTTGATAGGGACTTCGGTTATGCACCTGACATTTCATTGCACACCTTGAAAGCGTTTGGGCCAATCGTCGTAAGCTCCAACCCGGTGTTCTGCTCTCACAATGAGAGTGGCTCTGGACTTGATTGTGGTAGGTGTTCAACGCCGAGGGAATGAGTTCGTTCTCTGTCAAATTGCCAATGCACATTTGGGCGTTTTCAGTGATGGGATGAGAGATAACTTTGAAATAGTTTTCAAGGAGTTGGAACAGGTGAGGGATATGCCTTTTCTTTGAATTGATATACTTTATATAGATACAGAGCAGGCTTGTGGTGTTCATCTATGTCGTGTGGGGGTTGATAACAACTGGGGAGTGGTGAGGGTAAGAAGGGGGTTGGCCAGTAACAAAGTTGGAGTCCTGCATCCCGCTATTCCCGCGAAACCTGAGGCGCAGGTGGAGGTGGAACACCAAAGTCTCGGAATTTTCAAAGCAATCAGAAACTCTAAAAACTTTGTAGATTATGCAGAAAACTCCAAATATTCAGATCTAATGCTGGTTCACTCAAATTCCCCTGCTTTTGTGGTTAAATTTGATTTTGAGCGATTGATTGGTGGATGTTGAAACCTTCTAATAAGACAGAGTTCCCATTTTAGAAATGCGGCGTCGACCCCTGGTCATCGGCAAGTTCCAATAAGTTCAGCCGCAGCAACGTGAATGCTGAGCTGTCTTGACGTTTTCATCAATTTAAATATTCAGTAGGGCAGGTAGGGCAGGATTTTAGGCGGTGAAGGGTCAATCCAATCGAGCAGTCGAGCAGTCGAGCACCAGAACACCAAAATCATGGAATTTAAAGCTACGAATCGCATGGTACTTAAAATTAGGCTTGGAATTGCACTAAAATTATACTGAGACTCGTACTTACTATTAATAGGAGCTCTTTACGTATCGCAGTGAGCTGCCCCGCAGGAAGCTGCCCCCCAAGAAGGTGCCCCCCAGAGAGCTCTTTATATATTATAGTGAGCTATCCCCAGAAGCTGCTCCCTTGCGGAGCTCTTTATATATTGTAATAAGATGCCCCCCAGAGAAAAGATATAGAAGGAAGATAATATAAATTTGGTAAGGTATGCCTCAAGAGAATATATGAGGCTCTGCACTTTAGTTGCCTGAGGCACTATAGCTTTTACCTAGCAAGCTGCCCCTCAGGAATCTATCTGGGACCCCCCCGCCCTGAGGGAGCTCTTTACGCATTGCAGTAAGCTATTCCTGGAAAGCTCTTTATATGCGATACATAAAGAGCTTCTTAGGGAGCAGCTTTCTGGGGGAAGCTCCCTAGGAGACAGCTCCCTGGGAGGCAGCTCACCGCAATATGTAAAGAGCTCCCTAGGGACAGCTTACTATAATATATAAAGGGCTTCTTGGGGGCAGCTCACTGCAATATATAAAGAGCTCCCTAGAGGGCAGCTCTTGGGAGGGGGGGGCGGGGGCGGGGAGGCAGCTTCTGGGGGGGAGCTCCCTGGGGCGCAGCTCACTGCGATACGTAAAGAGCTCCCATTAATAGTAAGTAAGTACGAGTCTCAGTATAATTTTAGTGCAATTCCAAGCCTAATTTTAAGTACCATGCGATTCGTAGCTTTGAATTCCATGATTTTAGTGTTCTGGTGCTCGAGTGTTTTGACCCTTCACCGCCTAAAATCCTGCCCTAGAGAGTGCGCGTTCGCGTCGAGACCATAATGTTAGATTTAGGTCGCTATCTGATGACCCTTTCTGGTGCAGTTCTTGACGTTGAAGACGAAAAGGTTGACGAGCAATTCGATCTGCTGGTGCTTGATATGATTGAACAATCCATGCTGGACCAGCGATTTTCTCTTATAGAGAATTTCATACTTCTGGGATTCTCATTTGGGCTGTCTTCGGTTCGTATTGAGGGTATTGAGAAAGGGCAGAGCCGAGTGAATGCGGAATGTCTCATCATATGATCACAGCCCCCTGGGATGTCATATTTGCAATAAATGCACCCGTTCGGCAAGCGCCAACCGCAATGACCAGGAATCCGATTAATTGGAAGGCGGGAATTTGCGTGGCCAATGCATTCCAAAGTTGTTATGTGTCCGCTTTTGGCGAAGAATGGAGCGAGGCGAGACACTCCTTCCCACTTCGAGAGCATGCGAACATCACGATTTTGTGTGAAAAACTGCACGCAGATTCCGCTCACGGCGAAGAAGACAAACTAAGTTGCAACACCGCCTGCACGTCATCGCCATTTTCAAAACTTGAGGTTGATGGTCGTGTACGACTTGGAGAAACATGGGTTCGAAGAGGGCTCTGGGCTCGTAAGCAGATTGAATAGAATTTCTCGTCAGCAAAGCTAATACCCAAGTAGGAGGAGCCCTTCAGAGAGGCCTCCGGTGAAGAAGACTGCTCGAACTGGTACACAGGAGAATCAACCCACTGACACCGAGCCAACTTCTACTCAACCGAAACACTCTGAAGCTGCCACGCACCCCAAACCTACACAACCGGCCTCAAAGCCATTTACCTTTGAAGGTCATCCGCAACCGCAGGTCGATGAGCGTCTCTTCGCTGCCAAGAACTTTCTTGCTGACGAGGATCCAGACCGATGTCTGAATTTCGACACGAAACTCGCGCAGGTTGAAGAATTGGTCGCACAGATCGAAAGTGACCAGGTTTCCTGTAATCCTGAACTCTTTCGCGATGTCAAAGTCAAACTTAATGTCCATCGGGATTGGGAGGCTCACCGTAAAACTACGCCATACGACACGGGATGCTGCGAAGCACTTCTCATTGCACCCTTCTCTTCACGTCTCATCAGCGCAGATACGACTGCTGCTCTCGGTCAAGAACGAGAAGCACAAGGTCTGGGCACTCAGATGAGAGCTGATCACGCTCCTTTTTCAGTCAACCTTGAGAACGACCACGCCGCTTTCCTGGCGAGGATGAATGAGGATGCCAGGAAGAATCCGGATGAAGTCGAAGATGATACAAATCTTCTTTGGGTGGAAAGTCGAGCATATCTGTGGGCAATGAGAGACCCTGCCCTGATTCCGTATTGGATGCATCCGAAAACTGGTATACCAACAAAAGGAATTAGAGCTACAGATTCCAGTAGACTGCAGGTTCCGGGCTCAAACACAGGGAAGAATCGACGACCTTCCAGAGGATGGCTCCCAGCCCATGTCACTGCTACCGAGGTTAAGATGAATGAGTTGTTGAGTATTCCAGCTCCTTCCCCGAAACAATTCGCTTGTTTGCATGAGCTGCTGTGCCCTTTCGAACCGATGGACCTCCACAACCTACACGCCCAAAATGAATCTTTCACGGAGGCTGCGCTACTGGGTCGTTTGAGCGCAAACCAAAAATCTGCCCAAGATCAGATTAA